ATCCCTAGAAAAACTGCGTGTGGACGAATATCATTATATTATTTTTTACTATTATTATAATATCGTCGGGTGTGAGGGTTTCATTGATCGAAACCTTTGCAGGCGATTAATGCGATCGAAAAAATATTATACGATCTACACGTTGGTGTAGTGAAATTTAGTTAATAATATTATATTATACGGTGAACTATATGGCTATGATGTATATACTTATTATAATATAGAGACCAGTGGGCGAGCAACGTTTGCGTTGGTCATTAAAAAAAAAACTCATAAATTAATTGGCGCATCAATCTACACTGTTCGAAATGTCAAATCACACCTTAAAGAGGCCAATTCCATGGCAATTTTATTTATTCAAAAATATAGTATAATAATATAGTTTACATTGTTAGTGCCTATGTGTATATAATGGTATATGCATATTATATACCTTGAAGTGATGTTTACATTTCCTTTTCACGGCTACTTTATTAAATTCCTACTCAGCTCGTCTCGTAAATTTGACTTAATTATTATTTTTTTTCCCAACTTAAGAATAGTCGTTTAACTATATATACGCATATAATATAAAATAAAATGCAAATAATTCCACTCGCGAGCTCGTTTGTATTGTTAAAATTAAATTCACTTTCGACTTATAAAACTCAAACATAATTTTATTACATTTTAATCGTGCACTGCTATAAAACAGAATTTATATTTATTATAAATGTATATACGCTGTACACAGTATAAAGATGACTCTCGGAACACTTAAATATGATAAAAATTACAATCACGTCTTTATACTATACATATATATAATATATATACCTATATAGCTGTTCTTATGAACTTCAAATGATTCGGAATTATACGGTGTTTTGTGTTTTTTTTCTACTCAAATTTGTATATATAGTTCCTATATAATAATAATGTACCGCGTTTGTGTACATTTATCTACTCTAAATAATCGCGTACATACCCTTTGGCCTTTAAATGCATTATCAATTACTATAATATTATGTACAATAACGGGTTTTCATTAATTTACAATACAATTATATTTTATTAGATACGGTAATAAATCAATTGCGTTGTATAATATATTATATACCTGTGCGGCTATATGCCTATATAGGTATTATTTGTGTCTTGTGTGTGTGTGGTGTTTATTACTTCCTAATGCATATTATTATGTATATTCGAATATATGTATATATATATAGCTCTTCGAATTTACATTGGCGGACCGTATTAATATTCAGATGCAGTTCGTACAAAACGTTTCACATCAATTTCGTCCATCAAGTCGATATACGCTTGTCAATTTCATAATATGTAATGGTGGTGGGCTGCAGTTTGCAGGTGTTTTGTGATTTGTCTGCAGCAGAGTACCTATAATAGTATTGCAGTCACCAATAAATGGTGTGAGGTTTTTGCTTTATGCGATAAAAATAAGAGTACATAATATTATAATCGTATAATATGCTGCTGAAGTATAACTTGCATAATATTATACCCAACATTATTTCGAATTATTGCGAACACGGACTTGTTAAGGGGAACTACAGTATATTATTGGCGGTGTAGGTCTGAGGTCACGCCGCCGTCTATCGCGTACATAATAATATAGGAACCGAACGGTAAAGCTTTTATATATTTGGTAAAAGGTTATCACCGGATTTTCTCGGTTGTTTTTTTCAGGCGGGTCATATTCTTTATCAATAATATTTAAATATATATATATTATGATATTTAAACCGAAAAAAGAATTGGCGTTACTCATTATGACGATAAATAATATTATAATATTATATGATATGATAATATGGAGCTGCAGAGGGTGGGGCCATTTGTAAATTATTGTTTTGAACCAAACGGCTATATTACAGTATAGAGACAGAGAGAGAGAGAGAGAGAGAGAGAGAACTATATAAAAATATGATATCAAAGCAATCGACAGTTTTATATATTATATTCGCACTACCCAGCCCATACAAAACCGTTGAGGATTTAGTATAATATAATAGTGAATTTAGGTATAATAATTATATTATCTACCATAATATTAATTACAATTATTTTTTTACAAAACAATTATTTATAACGCAGAGCAGTACATCACATAATATTATAATAACTATAAAAATATAATGTTAGGTATATATTATGTTAATATAATAATTTTACCCGATGACGATGCGACGGGTTGTTGTGGTGGCTGTGTGTGTGTGTGTGTGTGGGTATGTGTGTCGTACACATGGAATAGTCGATTATGGCGAACAATTTGCGATAACCGTTGAAAAACTGTCGTTTGTTGTCTGTGTGCTATTTTTTTTTTAACTATTAATCAGTTTACGGTCGAACGAAAAAATAATAAAAACTTGAGAACAAAGCGATAAATATACGAGTTTAGTATAATATCATTATATACTCTATAATCCACAAAATGTTAAAGCGAAAAAAAAATAATATATATGTCATCGGAAATGTAACGTCTCCCCGATAACGACCACCTCCACTTTATGTGTATTTATACAAAACAATCACTACTATTTAAACGCGTAGGTATTTACACGTAAAAAACATACATGACGCAAAACAGGTTTTTTTGGAGGGTATTTTGTTCTACCTAGCACATATCCGATTCCAAGTTTTCGTGTCCATATATATAATATATTATATTTCCTCGTCACGTGACATCACGAACACGCCGCAGTACTATTATAACACCTATACAACAACAGTATCACGAAAAAAAAAAAATTTACAACCACGGCAGAAGAAAAAAATCGATTGGTCGAACCGGGTTAGGGGCTGTTCGTGCAATTATTATATAAGAAGCACCGTATATGTGTAAGGTTAGTATATATACAAGAATGAGAGTTTTAGACGCATTACAGCTTATATCTGCGGTGGGCAAAATAATGTTTATTATAATATTACGCCAAACTATAAAATGCGAATAAAACCGTGAAAAATGATTATTATATGGACCGTGCGGCAACGAGTTATGGAGGTAGAATCCAATTTGGCTAATGACCGTCAAATCACGGGGGCCCCCTCGTCCAGCGGCGATACATTTGCATAATTGCTATTACACATACCCCTAGCACATACTGTAGGTAGGTACCTGGTACATATTATAAACATACGTTTGTTTTTTTTTTTAAACGACCGTTTTTATCCACGTGCGAGTTCTACATACGTCTATTATATAACATACACAATATATATTTTAATATAAGAATTGGATAAAATCGACTAACCACTTATTGTGCGCACTTTAATTCTTCGTGTTATATAAAATTATCGAGGTGACGAGGTTACACGATTCGCTGTATAACGAAAACAGCACTTTGAATTTAATCGTTTTTAAATAAACAACACACTCGAGACGCGTTATATATGCATGTAGATTTGGTAACGAATTCGGTGGTAATTATATGATTATTTAATTATTCACACACATACACACGAATATTTAAATTAATTACACTGTTCCTAATTACATAGGTTTTTTTTAATTTTACTTATAACGCCGTTCGGCGAAAAAGAGAGAGAGGAGGTCAGGCGCAATGTCAATAACGCCTAACAAATTCGACCTAATCTATAAGGACGCTGTTAAACAATGGTTGACCTAAAATTGCGACGTAAAACAAATTTATAAAAATTGTAAACGTACCGTGCTTGAACGCTCTGGGCCGCCAACTTTGAGGCGACGAACAAAAAATTGAGTTTTGGAGATAATTCGGTGTCCAAATAATATAGTCGTTTGCCGGTTGCAGCACGAACACACGGATTCGTGGAACACGAGTTTAATACATTTATAAAAAAAAACGAAAATAATTAATTATTTACTTAGAACTAATATATTATAAGCTCACGAGAACAAACAAACGCACACTGCGGATAAATAATAATAACGATGATAATAATAAACAAAAAAATGAATAGTAAATTAAAAAATTGGTAAAAATAAAAATTTTTTTTCTAAATTTAAAAAAGTAAAACAAGTGAAACGGAAACAAAAATATTAAACAGATTGGTAATAAATTTATTTTGAAGTCGTTGCGACCGCCCGTTGGTGCATCCGAGCACAGTGCATCTGAATGCAGGAGGACCGCTCATTTAGGTTGGTCGGGCCGTCGTCCTTGGAGAACACGAAATGTGCAACATGCATTAGGCTGTCGAAAAACTGCATTTCGCCGTCGCCGCCCGGCGCGCACACACGCACACCCGCCCGCCCCCACCCGTCCATACGAACACCGCCGTCGGGCCGGAGGAGGGAATCACGAAGACGTCCGATGCACGGCCGGCGCCGAAGACGGCCGAACCGCTCTCGCGCAGGGAGCGGTGGGGCATCGGCAGCACCCCCGACCCACCAGTCTTTTTTGTCTCACGCCCCGCCCCGCCGCCGGCCCACGGTGCATTTCCTATATAACCCCGACGCCGCCGTTACCACCCCCACCCCGGACGCCAACGCCGACAACGTCGTCGACGCCGCCGCCACTACCACTACCATTGCCGTTACCACCACCACCACCAGCACCACCACCATCACCACCACCATCACCACCACCATCGTCGTTGTCGACACTATATACACACACACAACACGGCTACTACCGCGCCGCTACCTCCTCGACCACATCGCGCGCGCCTACCCTCGGCCTACTCGGATTGACCAGTGTGCGTGCGCGGTTTTTTACGCCTAAAAAAAAAATGAAAGAAAAAAAAAGGGTCCCGGACCGAACGAAATAAAATCGATTTTCGTTGCCGAAACATCGTCGTCGCCGTCAAAAATGTATTATTACTATTATTGCTATCGTCGTCGGGGCTAAGAAAAAACAAGATAAAAATAAAAATACGTTACAACGCGGATCGCATTGAGGCAGGTCACACACACATACACACACACGCGCGGTATATACCAATGTTTAGGTATGATAATTGTATTTTAACGGTCGTCTATAGTCACGGGTTATGCAATAGTGATCGGCTTGCGTACTTACCGATGATGAGCACCATGTTGTGTGACCACCGGCGTAAGTGTTTCCTGACCGCCTGACGGTCGTGCGCCGCGGCAGGGCACGGGCCGCATCCGACGGCCGTGCGGCGCTGCAACTGCATCGTTCGCGCAGCGTAATCGCACCCCGTGTACACGCGTGTATTACTACTATTAAGGTGCACTGTGCAGTTTTGTGCAATCGTCGTCGTCGTCGTCGACGAGAGCGGTACACTCTCTCTCGCGCGCGCGTATCAATAATTGGCGGGACGGCGCACGCGGCTCTCTACTCGGCCACACGACGGCGACGACGATGACGGTGACGACGGTACGCGCGCACGGCGGACGGTCGCGTAGTATATTACAACACCGCGCGCCAGTGATCCGGCGTGTGCATGTATATGCATGTGTGTGCGCGCGCGCGGTCGCGTGTGTGCGTTTGTAAGTCTGTGTGTTTGTCTGTAAGTCTGCGTGTGAGTGTGTGAGTGTGTGTTTGAAAGCGTATATATGTGTGTGTGTGTGTGTTTGTAAATCTGTACGCCAGCGTGTGTGTGTGTATTTCGCCGGACGCGTTCTTCGGCAGTGACGTCACGAGTCTGCGGACCGACCGGGCGGGCGGGTGTTCACGTCGTGATGCAACACGTAGTTGCATTCGTTCCCCACCAGTATACATTGCAACCGTACATATATATATATACTATTATATAGTGCATGTATGTGTGTACGCCGAGTGTACGGGGGCGCCCCCGCCGGCCACCGTCGACTTCCGCTTTTTTCCGTTCCCCTTCTCGTCCGGCCGAATTTTTTTTTGTTATAATCACTTAGCAACCGAAAAAAAAAGGGGAAGATAATCAATACTTCGGGTCTAGCCGGGCCACGCCAAAATACCGTCGTCTCCACTCCGCTGCAACGTATATATACGCGACCGCTTTTTTAAAAACTTATTTCACACACGCGCGTACGAGGCCGTTTTTTTATCGACTCGACTTCGGGTGGCGGCCTATACGAAGCGGCGGTGGTGGTGGTGGCGGGAATGGTAGGGAGAGCGGTGGGAATGGTAGGGAGAGCGGCGGCAGCGGTCTGCGCGATAATGCACTCGAGGGAAAAACGATACATTGCACAAAACCGAATCCCCAAAACGCGTCTCGTCTTGCGCTCCTTTTTTTCCGACCCGTCACCGCACTCGTTTATATTCATAAAGCACTACATATACACATTACCCTACATATATACATACGTATTTTCAACGAATACAACAAGATGTACTTCCCGTATATTATCGCACTTATAAGTTATAGACAAAATAATACTTAGACGATAACGTATTTGCATATATTACACCTAAATAATAAATCTTCATAAACACTTTCCGTACACGCACCGCCCGGAGACTTTTATAGGAACTTTCAACTTATACGCAACTATATAAGCATTAAACAGTTCCGCAAATGATAAACATAATATCCAACGTCTTTAATATGTATTATTAATAATAATATAAGGACTTTGAATATTATTCAATTAATTAATTATATTGGGCCCGTTATATTATCATACTATATAAGTCAAACGTACACTGCAAGGGGCTTATAGTATACACTCGATCTCGATGTGTGTCGTTCAGCAATGAGAGAAAAGTGTAACGTTAACGTATAACATTGCCATCTTCTAAAGTTCTACTAGACGGGGACAGAATGTTGATCACCCATTTTACAAATAATAAATGTTAGTTCCTTCCGTAGTATTTATATTTTACATGATATAGATAATAATTACTCCTCAAACCACTCCCATGGCAATTCTATTTAACTTGGGTGATAAAGACTGATGATATATTGAATATTTATCACCCATTTTATTTTTAAGTATATAACATTATTAGAAATATCGTTTCAAATCATAATTAAAATTTGATGTAACCTAAAACAACAGACGACCATACTAAAAGCTTCAGAATAATGGGGTTTTTTTTTTAATAAGATTAAGAAAAATATTAAATTATAGATTTCGGTTCATAATATATTTTAAATATTTATCGACGTATATATTTCTTATATTTCAGTACCTAGACATTTCAAATTAGACGTAATAAAATTCCCCTTTGTACCCTCATATTATGACGCCTCTGATAGGTTTATGTTCATTCCTGCAAGGGATGGCGCATATCTAACGGACCGACCGAATACGAAATGCGATGGGGTGCGTCCCAGACAGACCGCTAACGATTCTCGTTATTTTTTTTTTATTTCTTCGGGGCATGCAGTTTTTGCGAATCGGCCTAAAACGGTTTCTCTTGTGAAAAATTTTCCATTTTTTTTCGTCGTCGGCGTGACAACCCTCTTTGTTCGGATACGTAGTCGTCTCCCCCTTTTTTTTTCTCAAAATATGTATAATATATAATACAGTGTGTACATTTTTCGTTCAGACATTGTTCTGAAGGGTTACAGCGGCGGTGGCGGCGGCGGCAGCAGCAGGAGGAAATGTATTTATATATATATACTTATATACTATGTACATGCTGCACTTTATGTATTACATAGGCTCGGCGTACATATACATATATACATAGGACGGGGGTGGTGCTCCGCGTGGTTGCCGAATTTAGCTGGGCTTTTCTTTGTCGTCTCGCACTGCATGGGCCCCGCGCACGCACCGCCCGCCGCCGAACCCGTCTGCCGTCGCTGCCGCCGTCTGGTGCCGATAGCGAGCTGCAGCGGCGGCGGCGTAGGCCCACGTCGATAAAATTCCCGGCGAATTTGCATCTTCTCTCTGGCCGACGCCGCCCCAAAACGTTCAGGACGACGGCGGCGGCGGCGGCGGCGGCGAAGCGAGTGCAGCGGCGGTGCACTGCAGGGCGACGGAAGTGCGGGGCCGGTGCAGCGGGTTGCGAAGAACGTGCACGGCGGCGGCGGGTGGCGGCGCGGCGTCCGGTGCGTAACCGAAAAAAAAAATAAAATGCCGCCACCGACGAAAATTAAACGGCCGCCCGCGAAAAAAGAATTTCGTTGATCGATCGCCGCCGCGGCCCGCGCCCGCACCCGTTCCCGCCGTCGCACCCACTCGTCGTCTCACCCATCACCCATCGTCCCAAACGCACGCATCGCACGGCGGCGTTATCGGCGCGTCTGGCCTCTTACAAGCGCGGCGGCGGCGACGAGTGCATGTACAGGGCGAAACAGATGCAGCTGCATGCAGCGATCGCGTTATTTTTAATTCATCTCCTCGCGCGCGCATCAATATATATAGGTACGGCGGCGGAGCGCATGTAACCAGCGCCGTTTGTCGTTCGCGCTGCAGTACCGCCGTATACAATAATGTTAGCGTTTTTAATATAATGACGAAGAGTGGGCGGTTTGTGCTTTATTGTAATATATTCACTAAATTATATATTGTTATACTATGTTTATCATGACGTAATGACTGGCTCCTGTGCTCAGATGATGACCGTTTCTCTTCTCCGTTACCCACAATAATATATTCATAAGCTTCACTCAATTAACAATCTCCAGTATTTTATCTATGAATCCAAAGAATATAAACAAAATAGATTCTCACAAGTACAAGACATTTTATCCAATAGTCGTACCTGTACTATTGGACAATTGCCCGTGTTATTCATTCGATTAAACTGTTATTGTTATTGTTATATTGTGACAACGTGCACTCACAAAAGTTATTATGTTTTTTTATTATTAAACAGACCATATTGTTATGTTGAGAGTGAAATTGTTTAGGTATAATATTATATTTAACGGTTGAACGGCGTACTGTACATAACCTTGACACTATAATGATACCGCATTATACCAAGTATAAGGTACACGGTTAGTGTGTCTAAAACACTACGCGCCACGTTTTATTTTACCGCATTTCGTATACCACGAATTAAGTAGAATTTCGGCCACCGCGATGCGTCTAACTATTATTAGAATACGAGAAGATTTTTCCACGTGAAAAAAATTCAAATTCACAGTATGTAATGTCAAATTACTAATGTGTGAAATGTATATTTATTACATAATATATATATATATATAAGTTTATAATATATATTATAACAGATATAACTATATATATAAACCATCACACGATTATACTTATATAGGCGGACAGGCTGTCCTATTCCTGTTTACTAAAATATATAGTGATGATTACAACCCAACTTTTTGATATATTTTGGGGGACCAAATTCTCGGATATCGAATCGGTCGACGAAATCATTTAAATCCACTCAAGATTGCACTGTGCACACGTTTAGGTTCCACATATGATCACCTAACAACTTTTGCGATTTTTCTCTAGATACTATATAATGAAGTTTAGGTAATCAACATTTCTATAGAAGAAGTATAGGATCATGATGGCAAATATAAATCACAGACAATTGCAATAATGTAAAAATGTAGGCACCTATACTAACTGTTAAAATGTTATCATATTTATGAGGATTAGTGTAGTTTGTAGAATATACGACTTTGTGGTGTTACTTTTTAAGATTTTCTTAAATCTAGGACAGATCGGATAGAGTAAAACTTAATCCAAATGCAATCAATAATAATATATTATACCTATATAAAGGAAATATTATTTTTAAAACCAAATTAAAATGATTTGCATCGCAGCAAAAACAAGTTTTCTAGGAAATGTATTTGGAGTTCCAAGTTCGATAATTAAAGTTTAATCGATTTTGAAAAAAAATAATAATAGGTATAGGTACATAAGTTCATTATAGTATACATTATATAGTAGTCTGTACTTTATAGAGAAATTACGCTTTGTTGAAGGGTTTTTAATACATATATTTTCTAAGAATTTACAAGGAGGTTAAATATATATCCATCGAAACTACGTAAACTTTTTAAAATATAATACACGACTATTTTCGAATATAGAAATAACACCGTAGGTCATGGTTCCATTTTTTACTCATTAAAAAAATGTTGTTTCTTTCTTGTTTCAACTTTCAGCTATATCGCCTATATCCTAGTGTTCATAATACCTAAGTGCAATTCTGGTTTTAGTTTTTGTCTAAACTTATGTACTTATATAGGTGTGTGGGTGTACTCGCGTGCATCATCACTTTAGGACACAAAACAGTTATATTAAAATGTCACACGAGAAAAAT